GAGAAGATATGTAATGAGATTATAGAATTTCAAAGAACAGGACGTTATGATTCGATGTACATGAAGACAAAAGAAGTAGGATGGAAAGAGAACCATGGGATTCAAAATATTGGCATCGAAGACTCCCAGGGGAATAGAACAGTAGATCAGAGTCAAGTGCTGGAAATTAGGGAAATTATATTACAGAACTATATGATCGACCTAATCGGCCAGAAACCTTGGAAGTGGAACCGGCAGAAGAAGCAGATACAGACGAGAAAGGACCATATATTTTACAAAGTGAGGTGGAAAAAGCTATCAAGGATATGAGGAATGGAAAGGCTACAGGAGATGATGATGTACCTGGAGATGTGCTTAAGTTACTGGGAGAAGGTGGTTTGAAAACACTGACAAAACTAATAAACACCATCTATGAAACTGGGGAGTGGCCCAAGGACTTTACAGAACTGACAATGATTGCCTTAAAGAAAAAGACAAAAGCTACAAAATGCAGCGACCATCGCACAATAAGCCTTATTGCACATACAGCAAAGATAATAGCAAAGATACTTAAAAGAATTGAAAGGAAAATAGAGGATGTACTTGGAGAGGATCAGTTTGGATTTAGAAGAGGAAAAGGAACCAGGGATGCAATTGGGATGATGAGAATTATAGCAGAAAGAACTTTGGAGATAGATGAAGAACTGTGTGCTTGCTTTATAGACTGGCAGAAGGCATTTGACCGTGTAAATTGGACCAAATTAATGCAGATACTAAAGGAAACAGGTATCGACTGGCGTGAAAGAAGATTGATTAGTAAATTGTACATGGATCAGAGTGTTAGAGTGCGACTGGACAGAGGGGAGACAAGAAGTGTGAAGATTGGAAGAGGAGTTCGACAAGGATGCTGTTTATCACCAATTCTGTTCAACTTGTACAGCGAATGCCTTACCAAGGAAGCTCTGGATGGGCTTGGAGACTTCAAATTAAGAGGGCAAATTATTCAAACTGTGAAATATGCAGATGACCTTGCATTAATGGCTAAGAAAGAAACTGTGCTACAGGGTATGATTGATAGACTAATCAAAATTGGAAGGTGCTATGGCATGGATATGAATATGAGAAAACAAAAGTAATGAAAATTTCGAGACAACCAACCCGTCACAATAAAGATAAACCAAAAACAACTGGAGAATGTGAAATATATTTGGGTAGCTTGTTAACAGATGATGGAAGGTGTACTTGTGAAATTAAATCTAGGATGCCATGGCAAAAGCTGCATTTAGCAAGAAGAAGAATCTTTTTACCAGCAAATTGAACTTAAATTTGAGGAAGAAACTAGTGAAATGCTACATTTGGAGCACAGCCTTGTATGGGGCTGAAACTTGGACACTTAGGGCAGTAGATCAGAAACACCTGGAAAGCTTCAAAATGTGGTGTTGGAGAAGATCAGTTGGATCGATTATGTGAGAAATGAAGAAGTGTTATTTCGAGTCAGTGAGCAGAGGAATATCCTACAAGAAATAAGAAAATGGGAGGCTAATTGGATTGGTCAGGTTTTACGCAGAAACTGCCTTCTAAAAGAAGTTATTGAAGGAAAGATAGAGGGGCAGATAGAAGTGACCAGAAGACAAGGAAGAAGACGTAAGAAGATGCTGGATGACCTTGGGGACAGAAGAGGATATTCTCATTTGAAGGAGAAAGCTCTAGATCGCATTAAGTGGAGGAACTGTTTTGGAAGAGACTGTGGACCTGTCGTCTGACAGATTACTGATGAATGAACGAATTCCTATGTATGCTTAGATCTCTCCAGTGGATTTTCAACAAATAAAGTGTATTCATTTCTCATCTCATCCTGGTGTGCACCATGCCCCCATCTCATCTCTGATCATTGTAATAATATTTGGTGCACAGGAAAAATTATGAAGTTTTCTCCATCCTCTTATTACTTTTTTCTTTTAGACCAAAATTAACTGCTAAGCAACCTTTTCACAAACAACCTCAACCAAAGCTTTCCCTCAATATGAGACATCAAATTTCATATTCATAAAACAATGGGTAAAATTATATTTTTGTGTGCCAGTATTTTAATCTTTAGTATTACAGACAGGAAACACAAAGACAGAAAAAAAAGGCCTTAATAATACCAAGTAGGCCTATTCTGTGAATGTAATCTTTTATGTATACTTACCCAGCTTTAACATAGTACTTCACTTTAAGTTCATCTTTCACTTTAGGTAGATACTTCTCAGCTTCAGATCTGTTTTTATGCTTGAGGCATACATCAACAAATGGCTAGAAAGAAGAAGTGTAACACACAACCCATCAGATATGCAGGTGCAAACAGTTCAAGATCAACACAGGAAAAATTACACAATTCAGTTTCTGTATGAATGTTTTAAAGAAATGAATGAAAATTCCTGTCTTAAAATATTACACTTTTGGGGGGTGGGGTTTTTTCATTCCTTCAAAATACTTCAGCATCACTTAACTGTTGCACGTGTGAGGTGTAATCTATAGATTTCTTGACTGGCTCCTATGTGACACTACTGTAATTATTATTCAGCTCTTGTGCTAGATGGAAGAATAAAATCTGCTGATTCACATGCTACTAATTCAAACATGATTTATTCAGAACTGACATGTCATTAAGAAAAATCATGTGCGGTGCTCTTTGCAGTTTTTTGAATCCTCATTTTGAAGAAAGAGAAGTAGGTTTATGAGATTACCTTGCTCTGTGTGTGTGTGTGTGTCTATGTGTGTATCATGTCTCCTGAAGTCACCTCAGTGACACTTCATAAACCCCCCAGTCAGTAATACCATAAATGGGACACCTGCATAAGGAATTAATCTGTGGAAAAAACACACTTGATTCTTTCCTAAATTATGTTTTTATATAAAAAAGGAATTAATCTAATGTGTAGAATACAAGGTTGAATAAAAACGATATGTTTTTATTTATTTATTTATTTGGGGTTTATTTAATCATGTTTTCAGTATTCAGACTGTATGGTGTTATGTGGTAGACACGTGAATGAGGGATTGGAAAGGATGTGGAAGGAAGCATTTGTGGCCTAACTTTAGATATTATCCCATCATCTGCCTGGGGAATGAGAAAAACCACAACAGACCCCTGTCAGAACAATTGGTGTCCCAGGTGAGATATGAATCAGGCACTTACCAACTAAATGGCAGAAACATTACCACTTGAATCAACTTGCATTATAAGATACTTTTATCTTACCTCAATCCCAATAGGGGACTTTTTACTCTTGGAGAATTTATCCAATTCCATCCACTCTCCAAGCTCAGAAAGACTCTGGATACGCAACCACCAATACCTGAATAAGATAACACTTAGCACTAGAACCTTCATATGAAAAATTACAAGGGATATCATTTTTAAATCTCTATTAAAAGTGAATTAAGCATGTGGAAATTACTGTTCATATAACTGTGTATCTAAAACCTAATTTCTTCAAAATGGTCAGGACTAAAACTGTAAACTACAACAGGTTTTTCAGTCTTCCTGTATAGCAGTGAAATTTGGAAACTGAGACGTGACAAAAATAAATTATGAGCTGCAGAGATAATACTGTCACGCAACAAATAACTTCACGTCGTCAAGGATGTAGCGGATATTTTTTATGCTTCGCTTTACAATTATTATCACTTGCAGTATCACAATTATTGCTTCCACTATATCTTGGCGAATACTAGACTGCTTTCGGCAGCAGCTTTCTTAAGTTTGACTCATTACCGCGGAAGTGCATTATCCCTGCTGGTCCAACAATCCATTGTTATGCAGTGAACCTTCCATCTCTGGGGAAACACGTTTGTTGATTCTGCAATTCCTACGCAACAACCCACTGTTATTGCATTACCATGGAAATATCTACTCCAAACATGTTACAATATTGTAACGTGTTTCGTTACTCGTGTCGGTCCCCGCGCCTTTTCTTCTTCGGTTCTCTGACCGGCATTACTTCGGCGTCTTCTACGGGTACCTCTCGTAGTTCTGCCGCCTCAGGTTTCCTGTTTGCTGAGGCCGGCTCTTCCACTTCTAGACGTGCCTCCATCTCTTGGCAGGCCATCGTCACTCCGACCGGTATTACTAAGGGGACCTCTTCTTGTTGTGCCACCGCAGGTTTCATGTCCACTGTGGCCGGCTTTTCGCTCTCGCTTGCTGCTCAGCCGGCTTTTATTCCGTTCGCTGTTACCTGTTGCCCGCGTCAACAGCGTTGTTGCGTGCCACATCACAGCAGGAACCGGTGCCATGTCGTCGTGTTGTGTCACCACGCGTTGCGTCTTACATCACCGTGGGGAGAGTGGCGGGGCGATCACTCATCTATTACCATAGTAATGAGAGTGCTACGTTACCGCCACGTACCGCTGGGGAGGTGGGGGTCCTCCGTTGCGCAACATATCACACTGCTCCCTCATTAAGGCTGTTCGTCCCGAATAGCCTAACGGTGTATCCCCGTTCCTTTTCTTTGGGGGTTGTTCTTGCAGCATCTTCTTTTGGTCCTGTTACTCTTTTTCTCTTCTCCCCGGTGCTCTGCTTTCCAACCGCTACATCTTCCCCCTTTTTATGGTTGCTTGTCTCGAGCAGCTCCATGATAAGGCGCGAGCCGGTCGAGGTGTACAACCAACATCCTCGACCTAGGGGATGATGTAGCGGTTGGAAAGCAGAGCAACTGCCTTGAGAACTGTTGATAACACACTGGCTCGTAGGCTTGCTCGGAACTAACTCGTAGGTAGCTGAATAAACCAATTAACAATCTCTACGGCGTCTTCAGTAACGAAACACGTTACACTGGTGTCAGAAGTGGGATTATGAACTTGAACACGCCTCAATGAATTATACTACCGCACGATGGAAATGGAAACAATTTTTGAACGCCTAGAGGCGATACTAGACGCTGATAGAAAGTCCCGGCGAGAACAGATGGCCGCCATGCTAGAAATATAAGCACCAGCCACATGGAGATGGTGTCTGCATTTAAATCAAAGATAGAGGGAGAGACGATAGCTTGCTGAGAAACGATGGAGGCACGGCTAGAAGAGGAAAAGCCGGCCACAGTGGATACAAAACCTGCAGCGGCACAACTAGAAGAGGTCCCCTTAGTAATACTGGTTGGAGTGACGATGGCCTGCCAAGAGATGGAGGCACGTCTAGAAGAAGATCCAGCCTCAGCGAACAGGAAACCTGAGGCGGCAGAACTACGAGAGGTACCCGTACAAGACGCCGAAGTAATGCCGGTCAGAGAACCGAAGAAGAAAAGGCGCGGGGACCGACATCAGTAACAAAACACGTTACAAAATTTTTATGATAACTGGCAGTGTACACTATTCTCAATCACAAATTTGAATCTTTGGAAGAAAAATTTATGCACATAGAAATAACTGGTCTCAAAGCATCCAATAGAGATTTTCTGGTTCCCAAAACAGATTCTGAAATACCATCAAATAGACGAAAATGACAAGCACTTAAGTACTCCTGGAAGATGTGAATACAGAAGCCAAAACAGGACACTCGTAAGTGTCCTGATTTCAGAGTGGAATGTTGTGATGAAGATAATATTCTTCTGGGATGCCAAATAGGGTGTTATGAGTTTACATATATTTTGGTTATCTTCCAACCCTCTCTCTCTTTCTCTTTTACCTTGAAGACAGACAGAGCAAGTCCTCTGAAACATCAGCAAACTTCTACCAGCCTACATGGTGTCACATCCCAGAAGGCTGTTATGTTAGCAGTCACTGCTGTGAGAACTTGTCCTCATAAACATGATGACGAGTTTTTGGTCTCTGCTGTATGGAATACTTGTGATGGCATGGCTTGTAATATACAATTTACTGTGGTTTGTTCCTTATAGCTGTAAAAAATCATAAGTTTCTTCACTAAAATTGAAACCAGTTTCCTTACCCTGAGGAATGAAACTGAGTTATGTTCTGAAAATTCATGCCTGTCACAAACCTTAGGGATGCTAACATTTGAATATGGCATATTGGTTAATGATGAATAGAAGGGAAAGAACAAACCATGCAAGAGAAGTCCACTGCTGTAAGAATCCAGCACACATTATCCCAGGTTATGGCACAAAGTTATCACTATCATAACAAATGCCCCCTCCAAAAAGGGGGCCAAATTCACCAAAACAACATGGAGGCAGTGAGTAGTTACATAACATCTCTACTATGACTGCCATCTTCCTCCCCTCTTGTCAGCACCCCTTCATTAATAATGCTGTCCTATCATAAACAATGTTTCCAAATTATGCAGTCTCCTCTTTTGTGGTGCCTCTCCGAACACATTGAAGACCGGTTGCATGATATCATGCTTTTGGCTTTTAAACATGGCAGACCGGTCGCATGATATCATGATTTTAGGACATGTTAGGTTGTAACACACTAGACATTGCTCTGGCGCCACCCAAGTTGCACGCAGTGGCATAATAAAACTCTTGAATTTTTGCTTACTTGTCAGTAACTTGACCTTGCTGTTTTCTTAACCCACTATAAACAAAATGCTTTGTTGCTCTTCGAGCTGTATGTATCAGCCAGTAGTTAGTGGTGGGGTATGGACAAGAACAAATTCTTCTCCGATGAGCTAGCTGACCTGGCTTGTGAGATGCATAGTAATGGTGATTCAGAGAGCGGTAGTGACAGGGGAGAACAAAGAATTGTGGCCACAGACAGTGAAAGTGACAGTAGCTGTGACGATAATGGGGGTAATAACACTGCGGGGAAAGTAAAAGTCTAAAAAAATCACAATCTAAACCCTGATTCAAAATTGAAATATAAAGCATATCTGATGGATGTGGCAAAGGCCTGGGCTACAGACCAGATGGTGGCGGCAGAACCAGAGTCAGACACAGACTTAGCGCGACCGGGCCCATCATCTCCCACCCCACGCAGGGCTCGTGTGGACCCCCCAGGGCGACTCTTGGGTGATATGCGGAAACATACCCTCATGAAAATTGTGAAGAGTGAACATTCCAAGGGGAAGTATCCTTCTAGACAATGCCGTGTTTGCACAGTTCACAAAAAAAGGAGTATGTCTACATTTGCAAGTTCTGTGTAATGCCACTTCACAAAGGGGAATGTTTCCAGAAATATCACACCCTCAAGCACTTCTAGCAGCATTGGTAAGTGTTCTCCAAAAATTTTAGTTCATAAGATTAATTACGAGATCTTAAATTAATTTTTAAAGTGAACAGTGCACAAGTTAGGATAGTAGATTTAATAATGGCAGCCCCAGGGTGATTTACATATTTAAATCGCCGGTCCTTAATGTGTTAAGTGACTGACTTATGCCTTCAATCCCTCAGTTCCTTCAGCTAAACTTGAACCTTTACAAAAATTTAACAAGGTATGAAGTTTAACACAGGTTTGTTCTGCTCTTAAATGACCAGTGACATATGTTACAACTGTCTCTCTCATAAATGACCTGTCCTCAATGTGCAGATTTCTGAAGTAACCCTACATACAGAGACTGTACACAAATTTTGATATGAACATTTACAATATAACAGATGACTTGAAGATCATGCATTTAAACTATTTTTGGATATTGTGAGTACATGTTAGAACAAACATTTTTCTAAATTGTGTAACATCTCATTGTACTAAGGCTACACTGTAGCACATTCAGCTACTTTTGTGCACCAATTTGCAAATAATATTACCACACAGTCCTCCTTTTGTTCTTTCTTCCAGTAGAAAAAAGCATTAACATTACTGCACATATGAAGCACAAGTTTTATATTTACTGCTGACTCCGTTTTAGTGATAATGACAGTGCACAGGTATTAGACTGTGGTTTATCTGCAGTCACACATGACTTGTAATTTATTAAGAACTTTACTTCTTCTGTTGCAAATATAGGAAAAAATGAGGTATGAAGCTGGCAACTTATATATCAGAAAAGATTCTCAACATGGGAGAATATATACTGAAGTAAACACATAAGTGAATTCCACACTAAAGAAATGTTCAATTCAAGAAACCTTTATTTTAAATTAAGGCTGGGAATGATCATGGCGATTACCTCCTATCAGTTACTCGATATTCAGTACGCAGCTTATCTGCCAGTTTGGTCTCATGCAGTAACAACAGAAAGTACACAGTATCATGCAGAGAGCGTCCCACAAATTCTCGTCGAAACTTATCTTCCAGTGTCTTTTGATACCTGGAACAATTATCAAAAATAAATCTACAATGGCATAAAATGATGTTAAATTCTGTGTTCTTATATATCATAATTTTTATCAAGATAAAATAAGTAATTCAACACAAAGCAAGAAAAAACAGTGTAATGTGAAACAAAAAAAAAAGACAGATACATTGCTGGAATATACTAAGACAGCTCAATAAAACTTATGTCGCATCAAATGAAACCACTGCACAAATCCTTGCAATTACAAAGCTCTAGCTGAATGAATATTTCATCACCTGGGCTCAATTCATGAGGGCAAGTGACTCAAGACACCCTGCTGACTTTTATCATCTGTGCACTGCACTGCACTACTATAACAGCACCAGTAGGTCTACCATCACACTGTTTTCAATATACACATACCATCACCTTCATATTAAAATCTCGGTACCAGAACTGTAAAAAAAGTTGCCCTGTGCTTAACTAAATAAACACTACACCATGGAGGCATATGGGGAAGTGGAGTTATAGATCCATGCATTTTTACTTCTGCACTAGTTAGAGGTGGGTGGTCAGTTTCATGCCCTGGCTGCTTCATCCCAGGAATACAGCCCCCGGTATCCACTGGATAGGAGACTGGGTGGAACCCAGAACTAGTCTGGATGATTTGGAGAGGAGAAAAATCTTTCTCATACCGAGACTCAAACTCTCAAGCTGTCCAGCATGTAGCCAGTTGCTATACTGATTGGGCTATCCTGGCTTTCACCCACAGTGTAGCTGAGGAAATTTAAATTCCCTATCCCAGATGATAATACTTAAGCAAAGTATCATGTTTCCTTTGAAGTGTGGTATTGCTAGCCGAATAATTTTATGAAGGGGATGTTAAAGGATTGCTGACAAAGGTAGTGCAAGGGCTAATTGATGTCCATCTCTTTAATCTAAATTTATGTCCTGTCAGAGTCCCTCATTAAATAAGTCGTATCAGAGTGAAAACAGGATAATTTATGTATGAGGGCAACATAGCACTTCTGCTTTACATTCTAGGACCGCCTCTGTGGTCTAGTGGTCTGAGTTCCTGGCTATGGATCCAGAGGTCCAGGTCTGATTACTAGTGATATCAGATTTTCTGAGCAGTAATGGGTCTGGAACAGGGTCCACTCAGCCTTGTGAGGATAACTGAGGAGCTATTTCAAGGAAATAGTGGCTCTGGTCTAGAAAACCGAAATTAACGGCTGTCGGGATTTCTTGTGCTGACTACGCGACACCCTTTATCTGCTAAAGTTGGCACTAACTAACAAACGGCAGTCACTTGGTCAGTAAACTTTGCTTGCGGACTAAACCACGGAGTTTGTTTGTTGCTTTATATTCGGGAGCCTAAGATTCAAACCTTAGCATGAAGACTGGTTATCCTGACAAGGGATTTTTTTTGTGGTTTTCCTTACTCACTCCACAAAAATTATGGAATTCTACAGTATCTTAACATAGGATATACACAATTTCATCCATAGCTATCTCAATTCATTATTCACAATCAATGCTGACAGTCCTCAGATAAGTAAGAACTATATATTTTTTTCCCCTGGCACTACAGCCCCAATGGGCCTAGGCCTACCTCCATGAACTCCATTCACTTCGGTTTTTCTAGATCTTACAAATACGACAGGACTCCTTGGGCGAGTGATCAGCTCGTCGCAAGGACTCTACCTGTAGACAAACACAGAAAAACGCACACAAACAACCATGCCCTGAGTGGGATTCGAACCCAAGATCCTGGCTTCCGAGTGAGCGAAGACAGTGCATGCCTTAGACTGCTCGGCTACTGTGACCTGCAAGAAATATATAAATATATATATACATATAAAATAAGGGATAAAGACTGAAAAATGTGGAAGCTGTAAAATGAAATTCTGTGTACCTTTCCCAAAATATGAATAAGCATGGTTTAGCTAACCACAGAGTAGATATTATAACAAGGGGGACCACCACCTGAGAAATTGAATAAATAGAAGGAATTCTGGGTAGCCTATTTCCTGCTATATAAACTTCCAGTCCTTTAATTCTGTGCTCTTTGTAAAAAGTTCTACCTTCTGGGATATAGCACTTTGTAGTCCAATGAAACTAAACTGGTATCTTGGAGGACATTCAGGCTCCATCTTCAAGGTCAAGGAGTAAGCTAAGCAAGAGACCACCACAAAGCAGGAAGAAGGCAGAGCTCTGCTTTAAACTCAGTCTTCAACATACAAAAGCTCAATGTATGAACCATATATACAAATGGTACTTCTTAACTGTATCAAATTCTTATGTACCAGTTTGCTTGAATCTGCTCATGTACATCCCTGCTTACAGGGATCCATAAAATACACATATTGTGTCCTACTGAATGTTTGCAAAAAATTCCCACTGATTTTGAGGAAATAATTAATATAAGAACTATATCTGTTAGTTTCAGCTTAAGAACAGTTTGAATTATGAATGGGGCTTTGGTACATAAACTGCTTCAAAGCTGAGGATAAAGTGCATAAATATACAACTACTGAACTTGCCGGAGCAATTTTTGTTGTTCTTCACATAGCCCAGCAGCAAATTCATTTCGAGCTCGCCTGTAACTGTCTTGTGCAGCTGACAGAGATGCTTCCATGGTCAAAGTATTCTGTACAGTAAAAAGAAAAATTAGTAATGTCATATTTTAGTGTCCTGTTGCACTGATTTTCATCCATGATATGTATACAGTAGCCGTCTTGTAGTGCACTCAATTTCACCTGTCACTTCACAACATGTTTCGGCAACATAGTGCCATCATCAGGTGTCCCAATTACGTGAAACTATTGCATTGCTTGCCCTCATATGTTTTCACAACACCATTTAAAAAGTCCGTATTTGTCAACTATGATAAATTTACATTTGCTAAAACTTCTTTATCATAGTTGACAAATACGGACTTTTTAAATACTTTTTAAATGGTGTTGTGAAAACATATGAGGGCAAGCAATGCAATAGTTTCACGTAATTGGGACACCTGATGATGGCACTATGTTGCCGAAACATGTTGTGAAGTGACAGGTGAAATTGAGTGCACTACAAGACGGCCACTGTATACATATCATGGATGAAAAATTAGTAAGTGTAAAATGCCATTTATAGACTGGCAGCAATTATGGATTTATACTAATGTCCATCTTCACTACTACTCATGCTGTCACTATCTGTTAAACAAAATACTGATGTAATCCAGCTACACATCTTAAAAGTTTGGTCACATATGTTCATTGTACAAAATTAAAATTGTATTGTGTGCTTTCCCCTTTCTTACAAATGTGCATATTTTTTGTCTGACAACTGTTGCTTAGAAAAAGCTTATGTGATATCTTTGCCTTCACTTCATGTCATGTGGTTCCCACTATAAGGCACAATCATTTCATCCTCATTTTCATTTTTGAAGTATTGTTTATGAGTGTCTATTTTTCTCAATGTTTATTTTAACTGTGGCATATATTAAATTGAATATAGCTTCTATTTTCAGACATGTTAGTAATAACATGTGGATTGTTTAGAGATATTTCCAAAATCATTTCACAGATTTGATGTTTGGTGCAGAAAGTCTATGATACAAACTGCCATGTAAATACAAGTTTCATTCATACTGGTCCATTAAGATTCTTATGATAAACTAGGACATAAAATATTTCTTTCTTCTACCTCATAAAAGTAAATTAAATGTATCCTATTTTTGTACTTATTCCTTGGCATTACAGAACAAGGTTCATTATTACTGCAAAAACAAGAAGCCTCCACAAAGAACATGAAAACAACCTAGTTTTATAAGTTATATTCCAAATTCCAATCCACATCTTTTGCTTCTAACCAGTCTCCTTCCATGGCAGTTCTCAACAAAAATTTCTGTTACATTTCTGCCCTCTCCCCATGTATATTACACATTTGGCACACAATTCTCTCAGTACTCATCATCATTTCCTTTATTTTCCATATATCCATACAGGCAAAAATCCTAGGATGTGGAAATAGTCCATTTGATTATAGATGTATACATGTAATAGATAACATAAGTCACACAACTAAAATAACACACACCAGTTAACTAACATAGGTAATATATAAAAAAAAAACAAGAGCTTATTACAATTGTAATTAACATAATTTAAAAAGTGCATTACTATGAAAACTTAAAATTAATATAATTTTCCCATAAATCAAAATACATTGATACAGGACTCGTCATATACATACATACACATCCTCCACTTTCCATAAACATCCATACAGGGAACAAACCCAGGATGTGGAATTAGTCATCAAACACATACACAAAGTCACACAAGTCACACCGCGAAGATCACCCACATTAATTATCCAGCACATACAACAATACAAGGCAAAAAGAGTAAACAAACATAAGTCACAAGTAACCACAATACAACTCCTCACATCTCCCTTACCAACTATATTAAAATGTGGTGTTAAGCATTCAAATTTATGTGCCTTTGTAATTAAAATACTCATTTAATGCATAAAAAGAGTTAGCATGTAAAAATCTTTTTAGGGAACGTTCAAAGGATTTCTGGTTATTAGATAATTGTTTCAGCTCTTTAGGCAGATGATTGTAGATTTTTATACCAGAATAATATGGACCCTTTTGAACTTTAGTAAGAGAAGTACTCGGGGGAAATAGGTTAACATTTTGTCTGGTACCAATATTATGAACCTCCGTATTTCTTGTGAACAAATGCATGTTATTTATAGTGTGTTGCATTAAGGAATATATGTATTGCGAACACAAAGGCAGAATTTTCATTTCCTTGAAAGAGTCTCTACATGAATCTCTTTTCTTTAATCCCATCATAATCCTTATAATTTTCTTTTGGATCATAAAAAGTTTCGTCATGTATGAAGAATTGCCCCAGAAGATAATTCCATATGTCATCACAGAATGTATATAAGCAAAATAAACCATTCTTAAGCTACTTATTGATTTCATAGGCTTAACTGATCTCATGAGAAAGCAAGACGAACTCAATTTTGTAACCAGGTAATCAATATGATACTTCCAACACAGCCTATTATCAATATTTAGGCCTAAAAATTTAATACACTCTAAGTTAGTTGGTAAATTTTGATCAATATTATTATGCATATTATGATCCTCATAGTTCATTAAAGTGAAATGGAGAGTGTGGGTTTTATGAATATTTAATTTTAGCAGATTGGTTCTGAACCATGTATTAATATTGTAAAATATTCTGGTTATGGTTAATTTGTAGTCAGTGTATTCTGGATTAGTCACAATTATACTTGTATCATCTGCATATAAGAATATGTTTGTTCCATTAATTGAAACCTTAGTTATGTCGTTTATATACAGGAGGAAAATAAGTGGGCCAAGAATTGAACCTTGGGGTACACCAAATTTTACTTCTGCCCAACTAGACGAGCTATTAATAGAACTGTTAGGGACAAGGGTTACTCTTTGATATCTTCCATTCAGGTAAGATTTAATTAAGGCACCAAATTTGCCAGTTATTCCATAAAACTCTAATTTTTTGATAAGTATATCATGATTGATGCAATCAAAGGCTTTGTGTAAGTCGCAAAATATTCCTCCAACAAACTGTCTATTATTCATTGCTTTTAGTATTTCCTCTATTAATTTGAAAGATGCTTTCTCTGTAGATGAATTAGGTCTAAAACCATATTGATTATTGTCCAATATAAGATTATTGTCTATATGTTCATACAATTTATTATAGATAACCCTTTCAAGAACCTTAGAAAAGGCTGACAATAATGAAATACGCCTACAGTTGGCTGGTTCATATTTATTATCACTTTTGAAAATTGGCTTGACAGCAAATTTCATTCTGTCTGGAAACGTTCCCTGGGCAAGGGATTGGTTACAAATGTAAGTTAGTGGCGAAGTTATATATGGCATACTTGCTTTTAAAATTCTAGTGGAAATTTCATCATAACCATGTGAAGACTTGGTTTTCAAAGATTTGATTATCTTTCTAATCTCAGCAGTTGAGACATACTGCCATTTGATAGATTTAAAGGTAGACGTGTATTTATTGCCCAGATAGTATAATGGGCTGATGTTGGTTGGAGTTTTGTTATTGTTTAAATCATCTATAATTGTCTGAGCTACTGAGGTAAAATATTCGTTAAGTACGTTTGCAATGCACTTTTTATTCTGTATCATAATGTTATTGACTTTCAGCGATTGGGGTTCATCCTTCTGAGTTTTAGATCCAGTCTCTTTTTTAATAATTGACCATGTAGTTTTTATTTTATTATAAGATTTTGAAATTTTATTATCATAGTGTACTTTCTTAGCCTCTTTAATAACTTTAGTAAGTACTTTACAGTATTTCTTATAATACAGTTTAAAATGTGGATCATCATCTTGTCTATATTTAATATACAACTTCCTCTTTTTTTCACAAGAAATTCGTATCCCTTGAGTCATCCACGGGTTACATTTAAGTTTGGAAGTAATAATTTTCTTTTTTGTAAAACATGAGTAAAATATTCTCAAGTAAGTATTAAGAAATACATTAAAAGTATTGTTTACATTGTCATTTGTAAAAACATCATCCCATAGTTCATAGCTTAGCATTTCTTGAAATTTAATTATATTAATTATTATATTTAATTATATACTAAGAGCACAAAAAATGAAACTACTCAGAGTATACATCATATATAAAAGAAAAAGGGCTGTGAAACAGAATTTGGTAGACAAGAGAGATTATGAGATAAAGCAACATTTATGGTAACAATGAAGTTAACTTGCAGATCTGATGTGAAATTTCAGTTTTATGGACTTATCTTCAAAACAAGGGTATAAAATTAAATTCCAGATATACTACAGTGAACCAGTGTCATGAATATATTAAATGTACAAATCAACTATGCTCTAGAGTAGTCTTAAACACAGGGGACAGAATCAAGCAAAAAATATCTGTCTTACATTAAAAGAAGTCTCAAACTCTTAGAATTTTCAGAGTTACTTTTGCTTTCCACAGTAGCATACAAATTACTCAATCCATCAGAAGCATAATGGTTGGCAACACTAGCAAGAATTAAACATGTCTTTAAACTCTTAATCTCTCCCTTTTTATGCCAATGGAGAAACGTGACATGTCCCAAGAATACTTTTTTTAAGTGCAATGATTTATAAAAAATCGCCAAGAAAGGATCTGACATCAAACGGAATATGTAGTATACTTTAATGCATTTTGAAAAACCTAGTCTAGTAGCGAAAATTTTTGTTCTTATTTGATTCTTGAAGTTTTTACAAATTCTTATCTATAATTCATTTCAAACTGAAGCCATTTTCACTCATGCCTACTCTGGAGTTATGCCTGAAACAGAAATACATAGCTATTATTTATTAACTTACTGCTTTTGCTGAATGGATTGGACCTGGATATGATTCTGCTGCCATTCCTGACATTTTATAACTTTTGATCTGTGATTTGCTTTATCCTACAACCTGTTTTCTGAAACCAATTCTTCTGAAGTATATCACTTCACTTTATAGTTGCTCTGTATTTGGACAAAAAGACAAGTAATGCATAATGAACTGAAGTGAAATAGAACACCATTACCTTAGGATCATAGCTTTCTCGAATAAAGCAAGCTGCTTGGGCATTGTAATCATCCTCCTGTACGTAAATGTCTCTGAGAGTTTCCCGATTGTGGTCACGACAATACTTGAGATACAGAGCCTGTGCTACTGGGTAGTTCCTTACAGCCATCTGTCCATACACAAAAGTGAAAAAATAAATTTAGCAACTGCTCATGGAAGGGGGTGGGTTAATAATGCAAATTTGATACACTCCTGAAAAGCAATGTAATTAAAAGAAAGCCTTTGATGCTTCCTACATGTATTTATTTTGACGTTTTTGCTAAGCATGTATTAGTGACTACAGACAGGGTCTGGATTGGCAAATAGATTTACTGACCACTAACAGGTCATAACTATGAATAACTATATCAGTATTGCTGATTTCCACATTACAAATCACTCCACACTAAGTCTTCTAAGTCTGCTTTTACTAGTCGTTCCTTGGTAAGAGGTCTTGACAATGGCTATTCCTTTGTAAAGTTTTCACTAGGTATTTCCTGGTAACAAATCTTAGCTGGTTAACAGTCAACTCAATTCAACTACTGAACTCTCAACTATCTTGCGAATGAATGAATTACATGACCCCCTTTTATAACTTCAGGGCACACCGAATAGAGATCATTTCCAACAGTCCCTCCGTTATTCTATGTTTATCCATTACTGTGGAACCGTGCATTAATTTTGTAGCAATTTCACGAGTTCATGTGTTCTGTAACTAGTTGGTTTCCAGGAATCGATCTCTCCATGGCAACATATTTGCCAATTTGTTTCCTAGAAGCAGCCCATGCCACAATATTATGATAAGACTGGATGGAATGATTGGTGGTTATTTAACAACACTGCAGCAGTGGTTATTTGATGTTGCCTGAGATGACAGAATGATTGTGTTCGGTGAACTTGAAAGGAATTAAGGATGAAGTTGTAATAGCAATCATAGTATTACCCCAGCATTTCAGAACTGAAAAAGCTATAAAAGCCTTTGTAGCTGGAGTTGATCACAATTGCACATCTCTTGAATATAACTAAATACTCTCCATTGATTTGTACTAATCTCCTAATGATTCACCTCAGTTCTCAGAGAGAGCCAATGGGAACTGGAAAGTTGGCTTCCAAGTACATTTCTACACTGTACAATCCAATGTTTTTGCAAACCACACACTTTGCTTGCTGCCTGCTTCATGCTGGGTTTTGCTTGGCTTACTCTTCAACTGTGAAGATAGGGGGGCTATGTTCCTCTGAAATGTCAGCTGACTCTCAATGGACTATATGGTGTCACATCACAGAAGACAGAGCTCTTAATAACAATTACATCAACTATAAAACAATTATATGCTACATTCATTTAATGAATATTCTATCCATTTCTATTTAAGGCAATCAGAAACACTGTATTAATTTAAAAAGAAGAAACATTTAATATATCTTAAATTTTATGTTATATTTAATATTGTATATTTATATTTATTCCATGTGATCTTATATGTAAGATTTTGTACGTGACAAATTTTATAACCAGCCCTACTGGGTAACAACCGGATCTATGAAATGTAATTACAAATAAATAAGTAAATGATAATATTTTCTATTGCTACTCTTGTTCCCACCACCACCTTCCCTACTACTTCTTTTCTTTCTGATTGCTGTTGCTGGTACTATAACTAATGTTATCATCATCCTACTCCACACTGTCCCATGTCAATCTGGGGTTTGCAGACTGCTACAGCCTAAGTTCTATACTTTAAAACAAACAAACTACGTGGCCTGTAGTCAGCAAGTGAACTATACTGACTGAGAGACTGCTGCTTGTCGGCGAAGTTAGTGGCAACTTTTGCAGATAGAGGGTGTTGCGTGGTCAGTGCAATGGATCCCCAGGGCCATTAATCTCGGTTCTTCAGACTGGAGCTGCTATTTCCATGAAATAGCTCCTCAACTATCCTCATGAGGCTGAGGGGACACCATTCTATACTTTATTGTTCTGAATATCCTCATATTATTCTACATGTTATAAGAATAGCTGCATTTACAGCTTTATGTATGAATCATGATTACATGTTTGCATAACAGAGAGACCCAAAACTGCCAGTCCTAAAATGCTACAACAGACCATCCTTCATGAAATGACAACAGCAATAATGGGTTCCAAAAATATATACATTTACACTTAGGAATTCTAGCAAGAAACCAGCAAAATGCCAACTAACCATCTTATACACTGCTATGTTATAAAGAACACAGATCAATAAAAATCCATAAACTGAATAGTAGTTGAGTGACTACTGGCTTCCCAAGGACTCAGTTCCTTGGAGTTAGTTAATAGTTATAAAGAAGTTACCATTATAAGCCATACTCAAAGCCAAACTTATTCTCTAGTGGTTACACTGTACAAGGAAAACATAGTGCTATGGTAATGCTTAAATAAAATACTGCCAGTTACAAATTACAATGATTGGGATATTGTATCTGAAGTAACCAATCTAGAACATTTTAGAATACATGGTAGCATGCTGTGGCCTATTACAAACACAAGGCACATGGGAAAGTTCCAAGTTGAAGTTCTAGGGAAACCATGAGATTTCATCTGTGTCCTTTCACACATAATTTAAGGTCTTGTGATAAAATAATCACTTTTCATGTCCAGAATACAGGGTGGTAGGAGGTACCTGTAGGAAAACACACAATGATACCATTATGGTGCACAAGTTGGAACAGCAGACAAGAGATTCATAAAATAGCCTACAACATAAACATACGCAATGACTGAACAGAATCAAGAATTATAGTGGGAAGCCTATTGCCACTCACTTGTAAACACTGCTTTTCTCTTAAACTTGTGTACCCTTAGCCAAATGTAATTTTTCTTAACTACAGATTTCTTTAATACCAATCCATTCAAATAAAGTTTCCAATGAAAATTGAGATGCATTCTCTGCAGTATGCAGTTCTCTAGATTTAAATGTTCTACAAACCTGTGTATCACTAAAGGAAGTATGCTTTGAAGTCACGGTACCTGAAATTCCCCAAGAGGCATATTCTCACGTAAGTGGAGGAGAACAGTGTACACAAGATCAGTGTTACCACTTTCAATAGCTTTAACTAGAGCAGGTCGATCTTCACCCAGCCTTAATAACAGTGGTACCTGCAGGCTTGCACTGCATTCATAGTCCATCAGCTGCAACATCATCACAGTGTTGTGATATAAAAAGTTCAATAATCAAATATATCCCACAAAAGAAAACTGAAGTCATTAGCAGTATCAGATTTCAACATTAATATGACTACAAGACTGCAAGCACACATATGGAAAGACTTAGTTTATAGAGACACTCCTCCTTCAGCCTGAAGCATGTTCTTAACTAATTTCAGATGACACAGTCACCATCGCATGTCTGAAGTAGATGCTGTTTTTCCTTTTCAAGTATAAAACATCTCTGGATATATTTTACACTCATATGAATTGCTGTTAAGAAAGAGAGCTCCTTAAAACCTCTCCATACTTACTCTTTTTAAAAGAAGTCAAAGAAACTGCCCACTCTTTTTCTTTATTAAGTCTTGCCAATAGAATAATTTGTTACCCATTTTGAATTTGAACATTAACAGAGAATTCATTTGCATCTGTACAAGATTGAAATTATGCACCAGGTGAGTGACCTGGACAATGTTTAAGGNACTTACGCCTAGCACAGTACATTCATTTTCCCAGAATTTCTCTGGTGCTTCTGCTAAGTAGCAGTACATAGATCTTTGGCTGCCAGCACTGATCCCAATTGCAATAGTGATCAATATGGAGGCCTATGTATCAGCACTTGAATATTACAGCTGAACAACAACCAATGCTACTATAAGCGTGCACAGTAATGGGATTGAAGATGAAGCTAGAAAACTTGTGACTTGCTCCAGTTGATTAGGATTACTTTGTCTCTTACTTATGGGCCATACAATTTTATGTTTTGGACACTTTAATGGCCTTCATGCCTGCCAGTCTTACCAGCCTCACTTATTTTTTCCTACTAAGGAATCCAGGGGATTCAGTGTGACCTACCACCCACCCTATATGGGGGGGGGGGAAAGGTTTACATTTGAATTAACTGAACAAATTCAAGAGAGTCTCATGCAGTATATTCTTCACTATATAACAAATGTACAAAACTATATCTATGTATTATTGTTGGGTGAGAATTTGATTTAAAAAACATCAGATTTCCTGTCACACCCTTTAACGATTAGGGGACGGGCCATTTAAATTCCGGTAGTGGCAGGTTAATTTAAATGCCCGCCATTGTAGAGTAATAAGAATTGTAATCATGTCACTCAAAATGCTGTGATTTCTACAATTTTTGTGATAAACGAATGAAATAAACGCTTTTATCTAGAAAGAATATAGAATCAGATATTGTAATTTACAGATTTTAGAATCTGTAAAAATTGTTACACTGATTCCAATTTTTTTTTTTTCTCAATTTTGAGTGTCTGTCCACAAAACTGCAGTCAGTTTCTGCAGTATAAATGCCTGCTGCTGACATCAATCGTACTGGTACTGGCTTATCTTCAAAAGGGGAGCAAATGTTTATGCTTTTATAGCACTCTAACCTTTCTGTATACAGGAGTGAGGCCACGTCCCTCAGAGACTCTGTCTGTGTATACACGTATCTACCACACAAGAAGTACTGTTATGCTCCTTAGAAAGGCCCGCACATGGCCCCTTCTTCTATTTACTTTCAGTCTAATGTACCACATTCTAAATCGGCGACATTTATCAGCTGCCTATTAACTTCGGCTTCTTCCATGCGAAAAGGGGCCATGGTGCATAGTTGAAATTGCAATGTTTTATAAGCGTTACGAATACAGGAGACCACTCGCCATCACTGACCTACTTCCTGCTAATACGAGACTGACATTGCGTCAGTGCACTTCGCGTGGAAAAAAGAGTTAATTACGGACAAAGTGCATGAATTGCGACGTCGGACTCTGCATTCAGTGACATGCAACATTCAGTTAGATGATGCAGGAGGGAAGACAATCTACTTATAAAGCTGGTGTTGAAAAATAATGTAAGTAGAACAAGAATTTCTATCTTAAAATTAGATTTTAAAACACTGTGCGCACGCGTGGACTGCGAGTCTCCATATGGTGTCTTTCGGCCACCTCAGCTTTACTTTAAAGGTCTCCATACGGTGTCCTTCGGCTCATAAAGGTTAAACAATATCAACAACAGCCTATCCATAACGCTCTAAATAGCACACAGTTAAACTCACTTGAATCCCGTTCTATGTACAGTTCTACATTACAATTAGTATTTTCAACACTTTTATAAATTCCTTTTATGAAAGACGCAAGAAGCAGGTCTAAACAAATGTAAAATTATTCTTATATTTTACATATATTTATACAATTTCTAAATCCACTGGCCTGAGTCACACAATCTCTGTATCTCTAAGTTAAATGAATTGAGACTACAGAAAAACAACCTTGATTGCAAGTTGCATGCGTCCACAGTCAGCTGCTTTCATGGCTATCTCACTATATGAGACTCCGGGCGCATATCCCAGTTTGTCAGCTATATCCCGCGCAACCTGTTCACTGTCCAGCTGTGTCTGTTTCACCTGCAGCAAACATCAATGTAAAAAGTTACATATGACAGTTTAACTCCGTTATTTTCTTGGTAACTGTGTTGAAAATGTATTGCTCTTGCTACAGCTGTGATCATGGCTGTAGCAGTCCCATCTCTAGGGGAAGGCGTAACAGTTATAATCTTGATGTGAAATTAGAAATTATACATCACAAGCAAAGAGGTATGCATGTGACAGACACTGCATGTGCTTTTCAGTTTCCAGAAATGATAATTTGTACTATTTTGAAGAGCGCACAGGAAACTCAAAGGCTCTTAACTTGTTAACACATTTAAAGGTGAAAACTACATGTGAAAGGAGTGAGGGGATGGAGGTTATGGAGAGACGTCTGGCAATGTGGATTGAGGGTTTATTTGTATCAACAACACAACCCTGTAAGCCTAGCCCTAATCTGAGAGGGGGCTGGAAGAGAAGGAAGCTGCCACACTGAAGCAATTTGCTGCATCAATAGTGGTGATTTCACCACTATCAGAAGTGTTAGGACTTAAAAAGTGTAAAATTCTGGGGGACGAGGACAATGTTGTTCCAGAAGAAAATGTCTTAACAATTAAAGGTTTCAGAAAATCCTTCAGCAAAATTTATTTTTGGAACCAGTCTTCTCTGTGATTGTTGAACACGAACTGTGACACAGAGTGTCATGCTATATAGCAACTGCAAAAGAATAACTGTAAGCTGGAACCTAAATAACTTTAAACTCATAATTTGCAACAAACAGATCAAAGATAGAGGAATCAGAATTTCAGGCATGCCCAACCAATTTGCTACACATACAGAATGTAAAATTATCATACAATACACTTCTGAAGGTAAAAAGGACTGATAGCTTAATGTAGTGATATGCTGAGCTTATTTATGTAAAAAAATGTTATTTTAATACATTACCATCATTAGTTGCACCATACAAGAAGAAGTATGGGGGAGTGGAGGTATACCGTTACACATTTTTAACCTCGACCACAACAAAACAAAAAGACTGATCCTCAAAATGCAGTTAAGACTCTTCTGAATGTGTACAGCAGTACCAATAAAAATAAGGATACCAGATAACTGTCTTGTTAAGGGATTCATTCTATGATAATTGAAAATAAATTAAAGTAAAATGTGTAATGTAAAATGTCTGACTTCCACAAGATCTCTAGTTGTGGAATAGGATTCATTAACTCATGTAACACATCAATCATTGTTAATGCCCATGATGACAGAGGCTTATTCCCAAACACTGCTTCCATTTACATGAATGAAATCTTCATACTTTAAACCATAAATTACCAAATTTTGAATTACTTTGTGAGTAAGTTTTACTGGATTATTTTATCATGACATTTAAGAATAACATACTAGTAAAAAATGTAATATTCTGCGTCACTTACCTTATAGCATGCCCAGTGAGCCAGTATTCTACTGGATCCTTCATTGTAAGGCAGCTTCAGGTACCTGGCAATTTGGATAGCTAAATAATAATGTCGCCTTACAACAAGTCTATCCAAAAGTACTTGGATTGTCAGATGCTGGAGTCTGTTTGTGATGATAAAGGAACAAAATATTCTCACTCATGGAAAAGACCTGTGGGACTGGAAATTTAACAATAATCTTACCAATATTTTAATGAGCATACTAAACAGGCTACACAGTAGAAGCTTTCAGTTTCTTTAATAACAGAAAAATAACATGGAATAAATGTACTGAGGTTTAGACATCCTGTTATTTTCTGTCAGTCCCTTACAAAATATCAGTAATGTTAAATATTAAGAAACCTATGAAAGGATATGGGGGCGCCCAGTAGCGTAGTTGGTTGAGGCACTATGCTACAAGCTGAAAGGTCACAGGTTCGATTCTCGATGAGGTGGATTTTTCAATTGACCTAATTCTTCCAGCCTCACTATGGCCCCAAGGTCAACTCAGCCTCTTAACAAAAATGAGTACCAGGAATCTTCCTGGAGATTAAGGGCAGCCAGCTCGTAAGGCTGATCACCTTACTGCCATCTGTGAGCCGATTGTCTAGAACAGCGTTGGCCAACCTAATACATCTCGAGGGCCAAATTTAGTTTATAGAACACCATCAGGGGCCAGATACGGTGTTTCTTTCAGAAGAGTGGTCGGGGAGTATTGCCCCCCAAACTGAATCAGTCACAACCCGTATAAAAAGTGCATTTAAACCTATGTATTTAAATTTTACGTTGCACCAATAATATTAAGCCGATATTGAAAATTTCACCAATCGATTTTATTGCCTTCTATCACTTCTACCCCCAGAGCATTTTTTCTTAAAGAAACACTGGCCAGATCATGTCTTATGTTTAGTTTTATATATGCCGGGGGAAAATGCAATTATAATTTAAGAAAGAAAAATAAAATGCCTTGAAATGTGCAATTACTTACCATAAAACAGCACAAATTCCTCTTTCAGCAGGGATGAGCACAAAAGACTTTCAATCATAGTTTTTATGGTCTAATGATTATACCTAAATCCTCATATACACACTGTTTTAATGAGAGCACTGTGGTTTCATAAAACTGGAAACCAATGACATAAAATCCACTTCTAATTGTGAGGTTGCCACTCGAAGAATATGTGATAACACGACATCTGAAAGTCTGTTCCTGTTCTTAGACTTTACATGCTTCAGCGATGAAAACGCTGTCTCGCATATGTAAGTACTTGCAAAAACAGAGCAAAGTTTGAGAGCCCAATTTCGTAACAGTGGGTAACGTTCTGGTGAAAGCAGTTTCCAAAAGTCAATTCCAGTAACCTGAGATGTGTTTAAGGATGGGTCACATTGAAGTTCACAAAGCTCTAATTGCAGATGACCTGGCTGAGATTCTATATCACAATGTATAGGATTACTGAATAAAGAAATATCAGGTCGAAAGCTTTCAAAATCGTTAAATCGTCGGTCGAACTCTGAAGACAAATCTTCAATAATTTCAGTGTAGTCCCTAAACTCCAAGCCTTCTTCTTCTTCTGAGAGTTTCCGACAGCAAGGGAAATGTAGAAGGTTATTTTTGTCCAATGCAGACTTAAATAAATGTAGCTTTTTACGGAAACTGTCAACAAAGCCAACCATCTGACATATTGTCTGCTTCTTGCCTTGCAATTGCAGATTCAGGACATTCAAGTGTTGAGTGATATCAGTGAGAAAGGCCAAGTTTCTCAAGAATTCGACGTCTTCGAGATCATTCTGCAGTTCAGCAGAATTCGTAACCTCTTCTCTTAGGAATGTTGCTATTTCATGACGGAGTTCAAAGAACCGTACCAGACATTTCCCACGGCTTAACCATCTTACTTCAGTGTGCAGAAGCAGGTCCCCGTAAGCAGAATCCATTTCTTCCAAGAGGGTCAGAAATTTTCTGTGAGTGAGTGATCGATTTCCTCCTCTGATCAAATTAGTAATTTTTGTGACAGTAGCCATGGTGGTAGACAGTTTAATTGATTTGGCACATAGAGCCTCCTGATGTATAATACAATGCAAGGTAGGTACAGTAATTTGATTCTGTCTTAAAAATCCAACAAAACCGCTTATTGTCCCTGTCATTGATTTAGCGCCATCTGTTACTATGGAGGACAATTTTTCAAAACCACCGAATTCCTCCACTGCACTCTTAACAGCGTTAAAAATATCGACACCTCTAGTTGTGCTGTGTAAAGAGCACACTTTTAACAACTCTTCGAAAATTGTAAAATCTTCCTTAATTGCACGAACAAATATCAGCAACTGATTAGTATCCGAAACATCTGTGCTTTCGTCGAGAGCAATTGAGAAATAGGAACAATTAGCGATAATGTCTTTCACATTATTAGATATCTGGTTGCTAATATCTTCCAGCCTCCTAGTAACAGTCTGTTTTGAAAGGGGCACTGTTTGAAATTTGTTTCCTACCTTATTTTCATTGAAAGCTTCTGCCATCTTTATCGCACAGTTCTTAATTAATTCACCATCACTTAACGCTTTTTTAGCTTTCATTAATTCATATGTCACGAAATAAGAAGCCAGCAAAGCTTCTTCTTGTTGTTTTGTTTCATTGGTAAAAAGAGATTTCTGCTGGAAAAGTTTTTTCTTTAACTGATCGCAGACTACTTTCCTTGATTCACAAGAGTGTTTTCCGAACTTCTGTTTATGATTTGTCATGTAATGCCTCTTTAGGTTGTACTCCTTTAAAACTGCTAGCACTTGAAAACATACTAAACACTGTGGCTTGTGGTCTTTATTTAATATAAAAAAATAGTCATGTTCCCACTCAGATTTGAACGCCCTATTTTCGCTATCAACTTTTCTCAATTTACTATTTGACATGCTGTATCACTCACAATAACTTCAAACACAATTTTAATTTAAAAACAGTTCTACACTCACACTCCGTAATCACACTTCACTTTCTAAAATCGCACTAACTGGGAGACATTTCTGCTAAAACTGGCACTTAACAAAGGCCAGGATGCCGAGAGAAACGGTAAACATCCCATCACCGCGAGCAAGCTGGGAATGGTTATTATTTTGAAGGTGTCATAAATCCTTCTCCACTACGGTCTTCCCTTCAGTGTCATCTCCCTACAGAAGTAGGGTTGGGGAACTTTGAATTTCCATGACATGAACACAGTTATTAGAAAACCGTTTGAGCTGTCCAACTCAGTAAGAACATATACAGTCAATTGCAAAATGCTGTAAGCTAATGAAACATCCTATTAAAAACTGAATTCTATGCCAATACAGCTGTGAAGTTAAGATTTTTGAAAATAAACCTGAGACTTGGCAGGGGGCCGGAGTAAATCAAGTCGCGGGCCGGCCGCCAGTTGGCCATCGCTGGTCTAGAAGATGTGGGAGCCTCAATGTCTCACAAACCTATGGGCCCTCACGGCCTATTACAGGGATACCTTTACCTTTATGAAAGGATACTGTGTGCATGTCAATGGGATACCAATCTTGTGATCTCGCACGGCATTCAGTACACGCAACAGGTGGCACATCTTCACATATGAGTCAGGGTTCAAGTCTGCGATGAAACCCTTCCCAAACTGAGCTGCCTGGTCACACAGATATACCACAATATTAATAACACTTACCATTTTTTAAAATAAACCTTGTACAAAAAAATACAAGCAGAAGTTCATTCACTGCTTATGTTTCAACAGTGTCAGTACCTCAGATGACATAGCACTAAATGACTGATAAACAATAAATTGGAAGGGAAGTGAAGGAAGCACTCATGGCATGAATTGCTTGGTGGGGGGGGAACAATGAAAACCATTTAAAACTTTTCAGCACAGCTGGTATCTGGGTTGAAATTAATACCCAAGATCTCCAAAAATCAAATCAGGAGTGCTAACAATTCAACTGCAATGTTTGGTTGGGATGACAGTGTTGCTGAATGCAGCTAGTTAATTGGGATAAATAAAGTGCAATGTGGCACAATTCAAAATGCAGTGACATTTTGCTAGCTTCCAATGGGAGACATGAGGAGAGGAGCGTAATGATACATCTCCATTGACATGACTACTTTCTACAGTTGGAGCGTGGCCTCTTTTGCATCAGTTATAAATTCCCCCTAAAAAAATGTTCAGTTACGCTTTCTAAGATTATCATTCCGTTCTCATGACATAATTATTATGAAGATAGGGGAGTTATTTAAGGGCTCACTCGAATTAGCATTTTCTGATTTCCTGCATCAAACTCATAGCCAGCAGCCTCAATACACTGCTTCACAGCCACTTCCAGGTGATCCTTCACTAAACGGATGTACTCATCAGCTCGATGGCTGCGTTTCTGTAATAAGATTCAAAATATTCAGTATATTTCATCTTTGAGGTTTATTACACATTTATTTCACATGATACAGCATTTTTGCAATAAATTATGTGATCTATAGCCTCTCTCATTTTGAAAACAGACCATGCCAACAGTGTTACAATGTAAAGCTGAGGTAATTACATATCACAAATTAAGCACAAGGCCAACATACAATCACATTTTTAAAATAAACTTGTCCAATTTAATCTTGAACTGGTAGATTTTGACTTACATAAAGAAATGTAAATTGAAGCTAAGGAAGATTAGCATCTTTTGGGATGTGATGCTGTGTAGATTGTTACAAGTTTGTACGACTAGACATCTTCACATCCCAGACAACAGTAATCTTCATATTTACCAGCCTCAGAACTTCAAATGTCGCACAAGCTACTGAAATGTGTATGGTTTCAACAGTTTCATTTGCAATTCAACTTAACACTTTCTCAGGATTCATGCTGATAAACACATCCAAAATAGTTCACTGTTCTTTCTTTTTAAGCACTACCCAACTTTATGCTTTACAAAGCCAGTGCTGGCCATTTCTAGCAACACACTCCGTGGAATAATGTGATAAGGAAGACAATCTAAATTGCTAAAGCCTTTTGGAGGGAATTACAACTGTGAGGAATAGAAGGAACAGAGGGGAAAACTTGGATTTGAGGTTTTCATAATGGTGGCTACGAAGAATATTGTCTTCCGGGTTGCAATGTTGTGTAGTTTGGAGAAAGCCTCAAGTACTGGAGGAACATACTGCCTCCATTTTCAGGGTTGAAGAATAAGCCAAGCAAAAGAAACAACAGAAGCAGGCTTAAACTTCAACTCTGAAGATGGAGGTGGTATGTTCTTCCAAAATACTGGGTTTTCTCTGAACTACACAGTATCACAACACAGACAGTACTCTACAATGGGAGACAAGTTTTGTGAGCAGGTCAGTGGTAATATATATTAATGGATATATTTTCTCTCTCTACAGTAAAAGCATAATGATGTTGTATGAGACTGTAATAAGTCAGTGTGCTGACAGAGTGCACTGCATATGCTGGTGGCAGGTAGTACTAATATAGCTGGTACATGGATTTACTGACAGTAATAGTCTGCCATCAGCTTATCATTTTCATTAAAAAAATACTCATTTAGAAGAGCTTCTTCAAATCTGTACAGTATACCCTTAATTACCTATGCTAAAGAAAGGGGATGGACGAACAATGGGAAAACAGATAACCCAAGATACTTTGAAAATATGTACATTGTGTACAATTTCTTTGATTACTTCAAAAACTGAAAACTTAACTGACGAGATTCAATGCAAATAAAATATGTTTAATTTTCCTCCAAAACTCTTGACCAAAACATTTTTTGCTCTGGTAAATATTTAGTGAGATATGCTTGATACATGCATGTAGGCCTTCATGTAAAGTGACTAGAAGTAATAAATTAAAAATGAAATAGTTTGACAATTATTCACAAACGTGTCACAACAATCTGCCCAGTGGTTCTCAACTTTCATGCACAGACATGGAGGGACAGACTGGGCAACCTTAATAGGCCCTTTGCTGGATTGTGGACACATTTAAAAATGGCATATACATAAGATGCCAATGGGATAACCCGTGCATGGATAATTGGAATTAAGCAGTGTTTTGTATTTTTCATTACTGGATATTACGATGTTATGACAGCATTATCAGTACACGAGTTCCCCATTAATTAGATAAAAATGTGCAACTTGTGAAAGATGCTACATACCTGAAATTGTTTTGAAGCTTCCAACAAGTATGAGCCTGGCTCAGTGCTGTTGATTCTGAAAATCTGTTGCACTACCAGAGGCACTTTTTGGATCATCTCATGACTATATGTTGACAGAACACGGACACCATCCATTTCAGGAACCAGACGAACTGCTGAGTCATAGCCATAGTTGATGTGGTCACCTTGACGACCAATCACCAGCAAAACATTGTCCCAATAACCAATCACAGCTTCTGTTCCACACCTAAATACAAATAAATTCAATTTCTGATCAAGAAAAATCACATAAATTTACAATATTCAGCTATAATAAAAGTTTCTGAAAACTGTTTTCAGAAAAAAGGAAGAACAAAAACACAAAATGATACATGGATCTAGTAAGATTTCATGGCAATTCTGGTCACTATCACATGTTCATCATCTGCAGTAAGGTAAATATGTGTCTCTGGTCAATATGTAATCTTTTAACAGTCTGTTTACATTAAAAGTGATTTCATATGCAGAAGAAAACCATAACAGAATAATAGGAAGGAAATCTGAAATTCATGTATGGAGAAAATAATTTCTAGTGTATCTGTGACATTACTAGCTTTGTATCAAATGGATCCTCATTGTCAACAAATCAAGAGCAAAGTGAATGAGACATACAAAATCACAAACAACACATGTGCTTTAATGAAAATTTACCCTTTGCCTACTACATATATTCTCAGCCTTCTTGTACCATATGGGATGAATCTGACTCTGCAATGTGGATGTGGGTCAAGGGAATCTTATTCTATATAGAAAAAAGAGCAGAATAAAATTCATTTGAACCAATTCTGTAAGCTCAGATACATCAATGCTAACCCTAAGCCTTCATACCAACAAAAATAAAAATTAAGCTACATGTTAGCAAAGGACTAAGTGTATATAGGTATCCCCAACTTACACAACAGCTGTGTCCTTATGAGCAGTCAGGTATAACTTGAAATTCTTTCTCATTCTGTTATTTATTTGGTCTTTAATTTTCACTGAAAAATAAGTCATTCAATCATTTTATAATTTTAATAATTTATGAACCTTTTTGACAAGTAATTTTGTTTAATTATGGTCTTCACCAAAATATTAAATTGCATTAATGCAAAATTCACTAAGTCAGGGGGATATCTGTACACTGTGTTCACATTTTAAAAATAATTCTAGCATTAAGTCTCCCCTACTTACATGATAAGAAAGACTGAATTTCAAGGGACATCAGATTATCATTAATGTCAATGTTCAGCAAGTTTTATTTTCCGAACATTACAATAAAATTCAAGTCAGAAGAATAAGACTGAATAAATTACAATAAAAAGACACTAACCACACCAACTGTTTTGGTCGACTTGGACATTTGGTATCAAATTCACAGTACCGCTCCCTAAGGTCTGCCGATCCAATCCACAAACAACCACTGTCGGCAAAGAGAGCAATATGTCTGTTGTTCTGAGACACTGACATCTCAATAATAGCACTGATAGGCTCTATGAAGTCTGGAACCTGTTAATTACAATATGTAACACATGTATTGAGCTTAGAGAAAAATTATAATTTAAGATTTCCGGTTCTCACAGGGATGAATATGAAGATCATCTTCTGGGATGTGGCACCATGTAATCCTGCAGAAAGATACCAATCTTATGGAAGAAGCTGCTGCCAACATCTTCAGGACACAAGAATAAATTGTGCAGAAAAAGGTGCAGGGAATACAGGAAAGTAAATGGAGATTTAAGCAGGCCAATAGGAGATGGCGATCCCTAAAAGGGTAGGGCCAAACACTTGAAGGGAAAAGATGCGAGACAAAACGTTTTGAGGAGGAAAATAATGGAATAAAATTTATTATAGAATCTTCCCCCCTTTTAACTGTTTCCTTGCAAATTGTATTATCACTCCTTTTACTAGTTAGATTTTTTTTTCACGTTTTTTCTCCTCAGATATTTGGTTCTGCCATTTTAGGAGTCAGTGGCCCCCTTGTCTGTTCATAGTCCTATTTCCTTTCCTACTTTTTCTTATACCTGCATCCTCATTTTATCACATGGCTTAGTCTTCTACCCTGAAAATGGAGGCAGTAGTTTCTTCAAAACATAGGTAGGATTACACAGTGCCACACCCCTGGAGACAGTAATTTTCAAGAATAAGAATTCATTATACATTCAGCACAGTGAAGCTATTATATATGAAGGGTGTTCCGTATATAATGCCTCCTATTTTTTTGTTAATATGTAATGTCTGAGCTGGATGTTGGTGGTGTTATAGTAAAGGTTGAACCTTCCCGGCAATGTACTGTTAGTTTGGTTGCCATGCAACACATAGTGACAGCAGAGCAGTCTACCAAAATGGCGTCTGACATAGAAGTGCGCATGAAACAGAGATGTGTTATTGAATTCTCACTGCCGAACAAATTGCACCCACTGACATCCATCGACACATGCTAAGGGTATATGGAGACAATACAGTGGATGTCAGCACAGTGAGGCGGTGGGTAGTGCGTTTCAACAGTGGCAAAAGTGAAGTGCACGACAAGCCATGCCCTGGGCATCCCTGCGCAGCTGCCACTCCTCACAATGAACAGTTCTTCGATCAGCTCAACTGTACAGATCGGCGGATAACAACCAGGTAACTGTGTGCATGGCTTAATATCGACTGTAATGCATTGGAAACGATGTTGGGGAAGCTGGATTATCGCAAGGTTTGTTCCGGGTGGGTCCTGCAGATGCTTACACAGGACCACAAAACTCATCGAATGGAAGTTTGTCAGGACCTGTTGCACCACTTTGAGGCTGAAGGTGACAAGTTTCTGGACAGCATCATTACCAGAGATGAGACGTGGTGTCACCACCTCAAGCCGGAATCCAAAAGACAGTCCATGGAGTGGTGACATCCAGATTCCCCAAGAAAACAGAAGTTCAAGACACAGACATCAGCAGGGAAAGTGATGTGCACGGTCTTTTGGGATAGGTGGGGTGTGATTTTGTTGATTTCCTGGAGCCTGGTGAGATTGTCAATTCTGAATGCTACAAGAACACGCTGACTAAGTCAGGCCAAAGAAGCAGACAACCTTTTGCTTGCAACACAATAACGCAAGACCACATACCAGTTTGCGACCACCGCGCACATTGCAAAGTTTGGCTGGACTGTCCTACCACATCCACCTTATAGCCCCGATTTAGCACTACATGGGCAACATTTTCCAGAACAACATCCTGTCATTGCAGCTGTAAGAAAGTGGCTAGCCTCTGCTAGCGCAACTTCTACGGGCGCGGCATACAGGCTCTTGTTCATCGCTGGCAAAATTGCATAACGAATGGTGGTGATTATGTGGAAAAATAACTGTAAGTAGCTGAAATCTTGCTCTATTTAACTGTTATTATACTTTCTGTATCTATTGTAGTTTTCATTAAAAAAATAGGAGGAATTATATATGGAACGCTCCTTGTAGTTATGTCAGGAAGAGCTGTCAGTTTCTAATAAAAATATGTCACATTAAATAATTAATTAATTTAAAGAAACAGAGTGTTCAAATGACTAAATGAATCCTATTAAAGTCTGCTGCTCCTAGAACTTACAGCATGGATAAGCAGAGGCATCCATATTCAGTCTGGTGAGTAAACCCAAACTTTATTTATAAACCAATTGGAAACCCTATTTAAGATTTTTTGGGGACCAGTGCATATGAACACTTAAGTGAGGAAACCTTTGAATGGAATCAATTTTACTCTGAGCTACTTAACTCCAGATCACTGAAAATGAATGTTAAATAAGCAAAAACTTTAAATCAAGGACGTTAAGCAAGGTTCAAACTTCACATGATTTCAAATGGCTAATATGACATACAATGAGAGACAGCCTTCCTATACACCCAAGCAGTCCCTTATCCAAATGGCAAACATAATGGAGTTGCACATATAACTGGCATCGCATAATAACTATGATTTACACAACCATTTTTGATCATAAAACCGAAAAGCAAACTTTTGTGGGAAAATTAACCTCACATTACATTCTGTATTACATGGTTCTCCACAAATATCAATGTTCTGGTTAACACTACACATATAAGAACATAATAGTACAATGGACAGATGCATTTTGAGGTTTGCATAATGATCACTTTTGGGTTACAGAACAGTGTTGATTTTGATGAAAGGTCAGATGTTTCTTTCAAAACACCCTTCTGTTTTACAAGAATTTTAGTTATTAACCGTTCAGCGTGGTTTGACGTGTATGTTTCGTCAAGGTATTTAAATGGTCTATGGGGGTTCGACGTCTATGTATCGTCCAGCTGCACACCTATGTTATAACGCCCATAATAATTGATGGTTTTGCTGTAGATTGTTAGATTTTTCGCTGGCCTGTTGTCAGAAGAACAGTATATAATGAAACATGTTAAGTCATCGTTACATATGCCTGTCTTGCAGCAAATTCGTGTTGCTTCTGGTAGAGGTTTCCTCATTCAAACTGTTATGAATGGCGTGTTTTCTTTCCTATGAAGTTATAAACAGCAGAGACGTGATATGTGCTGTGTTTATAATATCATATTGCCCTGAGCTGGCCACACTAACACACTCAATTGGAATTCTTAGAAGAGGGATGTCCAAATTTTATTCTTGCAAGATCGATTGATTTCGCACAGTACATGGCAGCCAGTTCTTAGAAAAACGCCACAAATTAAGGCAGAACACTGTGGTCACCCCCTGTGACGATACGGGTGTGTGTGGGGGAGGGAAAAGAACTCATTCCTTCATGTATTATCGCTCCAGTTGACGCCATTTTATCGTACTGACCTTGGTGGTCGTTTTGAGGGATGACCATAAATTTTTTTTTGAGCCAGCTAAGCTCTGCTTTCGTGCACTACATACCAGCCAGTTCTTAGAATAACTTCATGAATTCTGTGGTCACCCCTCTGACATCTGCTGCAGCCAAAATGGATGGAATATAAAACGCATAGCACCAACCACTTGTTATGATAACATATAAAGGTTGAATTTACTGCAGCTGATCTGGCAAGCTATACGACTCACGGAGAGACATTTCCTCGTATTCCCCCTTTGAGAAGAACGTAAGACCGCACAGAAGATGTTTGGTTTACGGAAAAAAGAGCCAAATGAGAGATACGCAGTATTGGTGTGGTGAATGTGAGACAGCGTTGTGTATAGAAGAATGCTTCAATGCGTACCATACTCTGCTCAAATTCTAAACCACCTGCTTCCATTGCCGAGATACCGGGCGCTCATATTATAAGGCAAGGTTATAAAACCATCTTTTAAGATCATTTTAGTGAAAGTTTCATGCTTCAAGGCGTACCATACACTGCTCAAATTCTAAACCAACTGCTTCCATTGCCGAGATACCGGGCGCTCATATTATAAGGTAAGGTTATAAAACCAACTTTTAAGATCATTTTAGTGAAAGTTTCATGTTCCTATCTCATATAATTTAAGAACAATGATGAATAAATCATTTTCGAGCAAAATTTAAATGGTTGGCTGAATATATTACCGCCGGAGAGACACGGCAGCGGAATTTAAATGACCGCGCGAAAGAGTTAAGAGTCACAGTTATTAACCCCATTAAACCCATTTAACATTCCTTGATTTAAACATTTCCTCAATTTAGGAAAATATCTCAGTTGTAGATTTCCACCATTTAAGGTTCTTATAAACTTCATTTTCAAATACATTACCTCCTAAAAACCTTAAATGGCTTCTTAAGGATTTAAAGAAATAATCAAATTTACAATGTTTTAAAATGAAAGTGTAAACTGGGATATTCACTGAGCAGAAAATGTGGTCAACTCACAACTGGCAGAGCATGTTGTTCTGACTGTTTTAACACAAACAGTTCCCTGTCCTTTGCAACAAGTATACGAATTTGCCGGTCTTCAGAAATTATTGTCCAGCTGCTTGGAGGAACACTGAGACCTGCACAATGTAAAATACACCAATATAAAAATTAAATATCTAGATTAAAGAGAGAAACCAAGATGAAGGTGGAGAAAACTGTTCAATGAGGAGCTTTATGATTGATACTATTTGTCGAATATTATCAGAGAGCTAAAATTAAGGAGGGGGCATACAGCTAGTATAGCAGAGATGTAGAATACACATAAAATTTCAGCTGGAAAACTTCAATGGACAATATCATTTGCGAGATTCAGGTTCATGCATAAGGAAAACATTACATTGGATCTTAAAGAAATTGGGTATGGCAATGCAGACTGACTCATCTGGCTCAGGATAGGGTACAGTGGCAGGCTCTTGTGAACAAGGTAATGAACCTCTGGGCTCCACAAAAGGTGGGGAATTTCTTGATTAGTTGAGCAACTACTGTATAAGGTACACACTTCTTTGTATGTTGTGTTCACTATCTTCACAGGCTAGTTTGCTGACAATGTACACTCTTGCATTAATATCTGAACACAGTTTGAACTTCAGAAGGAAAGTATTTTAGTATCAACAGCAGAATAACACAAGGAAGTTACTTTGTGTTGATTTCACATTTATCATTGGTATACCTCTTGTTTTGCTGAAACTCAGTCTCACATTTTAGCAACATAGCTAACAGAGCATCTGGTAATAATGGCTGCAATAACTGATGAGTTGATGCATAGCAGGAATACAGCAGATGTGACTCTTTCAGCTTTTATGATTCACAAGCATCACAGACTGTCACATGAATTCCTGCTTCATACGCGCCTGAACATGGCATTTCTCCTACCACTGAGCTTGTCTTTTTATTTGGTTGCTAATAAGGGACAGCAAGAAATATGCCAGCAGACCTTAAATGCATAACTGTGAAGGTCATTCCATTTTTTACTTCTTGTCATATCTGAGATCCTTGCACTAAATGAATGTGTCTCTTCAGTATCACATTCTTAAAAATAATATTATGACATGTTGTGCAACAGAGGACCCCCACCTCCCCAGCGGTACGTGGCGGTAACGTAGCGCTCTCGTTACTATGGTAATAGGCGTCATCGCACCGCCACTCTCCCCACGGTGATGTAACGCGCAACGCACGGTGACGCAACACGACGACATGGCACCGGTTCCTACTGTGATGTGGCACGCAACAATGCTGTTGACGCGGGCAACAGGTAACAGCGAATGGAATAAAAGCCGGCTGAGCAGCAAGCGAGAGCCAGTGTGTTATCAACAGTTCTCAAGGCAGCAGCCTGCGAGTAGAGTTGGAATCTAGCCAGCGGCGAGTTACGAGTGAAAGTGTGTGATAATCAGTGACAGTTTGTGATAACTGAGAATTGATTGGGAGAGTGTGATACAGTAACACTTATATAGATCCCGTACTGTGAAACGTGTAGTCTACTGACAATAGCGTGATTTGATTTGCGAATAGGGTTATAAATTGTGAAACCCCGCAATAAGTTGTGATTTGTAGGTTGTTAAATAAACCAATTAACAATCCAAACGGCGCCTTCAGTAACAAAACACGTTACAATATCTGAAATATAAGTCTGAAAGAGGAAAAACAAGATGACAAGGAAGAGAAACAATCAAAATGTAATGGGTGGAACTCACAGAGGTTAATTCCCTACTGTGCAGATTTACAGTTCCATAAAGTTTGTATTGTTAATGATATATTCAGGTAGTGTAAGTATATAATCCAACAATAAAATGAAGAGATTTCTGCTGGAGGCAGTAATATTTATTATTTGCAATTGTAAACATGATGTCTCACATTAAATAGGAAAATTGCTGTAAAGAAGGTTCTATTTACACAGAACATCTTAGGCCCCCCACATTAAGTGCTGCTCCCATCTCACAAACATGGACTGACTGTGGCTGTGGGGGCAACAGTTGGGGTGGTCTCCAATAACATGTTAATATCAGATTTTGTGAAAATTAGTCAAGACTTCATAGCTGTAAAAGATGATAAACAGGCAAGCACATATGCACAATCATACATGTGTGATCACATGCACATATTCTCTCTCACTCTCTCTCTGGTGGAAAACCCCAACAGACTACACCTTGCTTTGATGCTTAACAGGAGGTTTACAGAAGTAGTGAAGAATATACAAGTTATGTATAAGGAACCTGGAAACATCTCATCAATGCTTGTAATTTTTAGTGTGCCTACATGAAGAGTAACAGTCTCGCTGAATGTGCATAGCAGATCAAGATGAGGCGCAAAGGGATGATAGAGAATACCGATTAGAAATTTGATACATTCCATAAGGACATTACGCAGTCTGCCAAAATTGTTAAATAGAGTATGCCAGGCCTCCAAAAATACTGCTTATATTTGTACAGTACTTATAGGAGGACAAACCTTTCCCCTCACCTTTATTCACTGCACCTAGCATCCCTCAGAGCAATGAGGCACCCTCTTATAATATGAAGCCTCTCAACTGCATAACATGGCCAGTGTCAAGGACCTCAGCAGTCATACTCTTAACTAACATAACTGATAAACATGAGACATTACTGTCTACCACAGTGCTACCTGCTAACTGCATCTTTGATTGAACTTGTACTATGTAGCACACACACTAACAGAACTGACCAGTTTAGGTCAGAATAACTTTTCTTTTTCATTTAGATTGCCTTGTCTTATTATGAATATGTTTCAAAATACTGTAACGTGTTTTTGCTACTGAAGATGCTGTTCAGATTGTTAATTGGTTTATTTAACAACCTACAAGTCTCGGCTACAATTAATTACAATACTGTTATGGGTTTACACAATTTACAAACCCTACACACTATTCTGTCCACTCTGTCCTCAGTAGTCTACACATATTCACAGTATGATATGTGAGTTATAGTAGTGTCACTGTATCACACACTCCCAATACCTTCTCAGTTATCACAAACTATCACTGATTATGACACACGCGTCCGGTTCTTCTTTCCGCGACTGCTGCTAGATTCCAACTGTCTTCGTAGGCAGTGTAGTTCTCTTATAAACCCTCAGCCAGACAACGGGAAACACCTCGCTTCCTTGTTGCCTAATCACAGTGTTTGCCTGTTATGTAATAGGTACCACTGTTTATTACCGTCGTCTCTAGCAGCCACGGTTTACTCGCTTTGCTTAGCAACCACGATTTACTCGCTTTGCATAGCGACCAGTGTACTTGGACTCGGCTCTGCTCGGCACGTCACTGCTGGCGGGGGGGTGTTGACCTGCCTATTACCGTAGTAACAACAGTGCTCTGATGCCAAGTCACCGCTGGGGAGGAAGGGGGGGTGTTCTCCATAGCGCAACACGTCACACTGCTCCCTCCTTAAGGCTGTTTGTCCCGAACAGCCTACTGGTGCACCCCCGTTCCTTTTCTTCCAAGGATGTGCTTTCTGCGTCTCCTGTTATTTCAGCCACTCCTTGTAGCAATTATTCTATGGCCGTTATGTCCGCTCCCGTCTTAAGACCAGCTTGTCTCAAGTAGTTTCCTTTCAACTTGCCAGAAGATCCAGTTGTATCACATTCATTCTTCGCTTTCATTCTTTCCTCTTTCACTCTTGCTAGGGAGGCCGGTGTTTCTACTACCAGTTCCTCCTATATGGGCCTTTTTCTTTTTTTCGTTTTGGAGGGGGTCGACCCCTCCACAGTGTCCATTTTCTTATTTTCTGTAACCCGTTGGAAGTACCGACTACTTGTTTCGCGAACTTTCCTTGAAAATCACATCGATGGTCTTCTCTCTCAGGTGTAGCAGTTCCTCCACGTCTTGGTTCCTCATGCCCTTGCTGCATTTCTGTTGCGGCTGACGCCTCCTCCCGGACATCTGTCCTGTCACGGTTCCCGTTCTTCCTTTCCAGGCTTCTTGTCCAGCACTGACCCTGGTTGAATATTTCTTTACGGGATCTCCCTTGGGCCGTGTCGCACCTGCACGACTAGTCATATTTCTGTCGGCAGCCAATTCATGCCACAGTCCACAATTTCCTTGGGTCATAGATTTCTTGAAGACGTTACTCTTGTGCCATGTCACTGTTGCACGGCGGGACACCTTCTTGCAGGCGGCAGCCAACTTCATCTGGGATCCACTAATTCCTCGGGTTAGTTCCAGTGGCTCTCCACGTCACCTTGCAGCTTGCTTCTTGCCCCTATACCGCTTCTTCCATCCTTTGACTGGTTTCACTACGGCATTTTCGTTGGGGACTTCTCGATGTTGGGCCACCTCAGGTTTCCTGTCCACTGAGGTCGGTTCTTTTTCTTCTAGACGTGCCTCCATCTCTTGGCAGGCCATTGTCTCTTTGTGGTTGGCATTTACCCTTTTGTCTTTCATGGCGGCCATCTCTTCTGGCCATGCTTTCATATTGGCCTATCATCCTCCAATCTGGCTAGGAATTCCTTGTGGCTGATCTCCGCTTTTTCTTTGTTGGCGTCTAATCTTGCCAGGAAAGAGCTCTAACACATGTTCTATTTTTCTGTTTGTAGGGTAGCACTAGGCGCACGATAATTCATTCTACTCGTCGCGTGTTTGAGTTCGTAAAACACTTCTGACAGCCACATGTAAGTTTGTAACCACTTCTGAACACCAAATGTAAAGTGTTTTTGCTACTGAAGACGTGTTTCAGATTGTTAATTGGTTTATTTAACAACCTAAAAGTCTCGGCTACAATTAATTGCAACACTGTTACAGGTTTACACAATTTACAAACCCTACACACTATTCTGTCCACTCTGTCCTCAGTAGTCTACACGTATTCACAGTACGATACAGGAGTTATAGCAGTGTCACTGTATCACACACTCCCAATACCTTCTCAATTATCACAAACTATAATTGATTATCACACATGCATCCAGTTCTTCTTTCCACGACTGCTGCTAGATTCCAACTGTCTTCGTAGGCAGTGTAGTTCTCTTATAAACCCTCAGCCGGATAATGGGAAACGCCTCGCTTCCTTGTTGCCTAGTCGCCGTGTTTGCCTTTTTACATAATGGGTACTGCTGTTTATTACCGTCGTCTTTAGCAGCCACTGTTTACTCGCTTTGCACAGCGACCAGTGTGCTTGGACTCGGCTCCGATCGGCACGTCACTGCTGGCGGGGGGGGGGGGTGTTGACCTGCCTATTACCATTGTAACGACAGCGCTCGATGCCAAGTCACCGCTGGGGAGGAAATGGGGTGTCCTCCATAGCGCAACACGTCACAATATTCTCCTTGTAATTAATATACAAATGCTACACCATCATTCTCTAAAACAGCCTTATTCTTGAAAAAGACATTTTACACCACTATTTTAGATACTTCACACATGTCACATCAAATAAACTAGATCAGAACACTTACTTGGCACCTCTGGTAGTCTCCTAACTTTTGGTTCCTTTACACTGTTGACTAAAAAGAAGCGATATGATGATGTAAGAACAGCAATACCTGTGCCATTAATATTGGCAAATATCTTTGCTTCGATTACTTTCATGTCTTTTGCTTCCTGCAAAAATAACGCCAAATTACACTAATGCCAACTATAAATAAATTTTATCTCTTTCACCTGTGTTACAATTTTAGAGATTAGGAGCATAAATACATTTCTTCAAATTTTGGGCTCAATCCACTAAAATTCTGAAAATGTACCATATGCGTTCAGTTAAGGAGAAAACTTCGTAACATCACTGACCCAGCCAAATATTCCTCACAGACTGCTGCTGTAACTGCCGATAGCAGAATGAGTCATTAGCGCTGATAAACACGCTCCGTTATAGTTATAGTTACAGTTACAGTTACAGCAGCAATCTGTGAGGAATAGTGGGCCTGGTCAACAGTGATGCGAAGTTTCCTCCTTGATTGGATTGAACATACCCAGCCACCTGACTTTGGAGTACAGCTCCACAATACAAAGCTGAGATTAGAAGCCTCCATACTGCTAATATACACAGCATTTTTTTTTGATAGGAAACACACTTCTTACCTTTAAAATGGTATCTAAAATCTACACGCATCTTATAGTCTGAAGGTATAGCAAGGCTTATCTCAAAATTTTCCCTTAAAAATCAGGACAAGTATTATAGTGAGAAAAAATGTGAAATATAATCTTCTGTAGCTATCCAAGTAATGTATGGACCAGCAGTTAAGCTGCTGAGTTCCTAAAATTCAGTCCAGACAAAACACATTTAATTTCTTAAGTTAATCAATTTTTTTTTTAATTCGCTTAGTGGGGGGTGGAGTCCAGTTGGGTCCACTCGGCACGGCGGCTACTGATGGGCCTACTGTACCTTCCCCAGGTGATTGTGATGATGTAGAATATGGTGGAATGAAGATTGGCAGGTGAAACTGAAGTACTCGGAGAAAACCTGCCCCAGCGCCACTTTATCCACCACAAATCCGACTTAACCAGACCCGGGCTCGAACCTGGGCCGCCACAGTGGGAAGCCAGTGACTAAAAGCTTGAGCTATGGCGCGGCCAATTTCTTAAGTTAATCTAATGAAGCTAAGATCTAGTAACAGCACTCTGTAATGACAGGAACTGAAGGAGGTGACTATATGGGGTAAATAATTATGTAACCAATACTCTCATTTAAATTATGCTGATCCTACTTACTTCCTGATGTAAAATACACTGAAATAAAATATGCTTCTCCAAGTTAATTTTTTTTTAAATTGATCTTTCACACTATGGTACACAGATCAAGTGTATCTGATAAAAGGGTGCTGAGAATATCTGAACCTAAGAGGGGGAAGTTATGAAAATAAAATGGGTAGAAAATTGCAGTGAGGAGCTCCATAATTTGTACTCTTTGCCAAATATTATTAGGATGATCAAATCCGGGAGCATGAGATAGGCAGGCATGTAGAATGCATGGGAGGGATGAATAGTAGAGGATATTAAAATGTATCTGAAAAATATAGAAGGGATGGTGTAGCCTAGGCTCATTTGACTCTGGATAAGACCAGAGGTGGGCACTAGTAAGACAGCAATGAACCTTTTGGTTTCATAAACAGCAGGGAATTTCTTGTCTAGCTCTGGAACTATTAGCTTATCAAGAGTAATCGTTCCATGGTTTTAGTAGCTTATATAGTAATACTACTATGTACTACAGGTATATACTTAGTTAACACAAACCTGTCCCATGCTGAATGTATGTTGATATGAACCAAACATGTCATATATCAAGACTGAACCATCATCTTGTATACAAAGGAGGTCTTCAGTCGATGACCAACCAAGTTGAATGATCTGCCCACTAGACCAAACAGTTGATGATATAGTCTTTCCTGAGGCAGAATATATGGAAATAATTGGTTTCCCGATTCCCTGAACTTTTACAAATTTTTTTCTATCTCTGATGATGGCAATTGGTCCTCCATATTGTCCAACAGCAACACTCACATTTTCCATGTTGATCTCATTTTGCCATGTCATAGAATAAATCTCGAATTTCCTGAAAATATAAAGGCATGCATATCTCAATAATATGGTGCTGAAAAATTCACAGCAACTACAAAGGGCATTCCGCATATAATGCCTCCTGTTTTTTTGTGTTAATATGTAACATCTGAGCCGGATGTTGGTGGTGTTGTAGTAAAGGTTGAACGTTCTCGCCAATGTACTGTTTGGTTGTTGTGCGACAGATAGCAACAGCAGAGCAGTCTACCAAAATGGTGTCTGACATAGAAGTGCGTACGAAACAGAGATGTGTTGAATTTCTCACTGCTGAACAAACTGCACCCATTGACATCCATCAACGCTTGCTAAAGGTGTACAGAGATGATATAGTGGATGTCAGCACAGTGAGGCAGTGGGTAGTGCGTTTCAACAGTGGCAAAAGTGAAGTGCACGACAAGCCACACCCTGGGCATCCCTACTCAGCTGCCACTCCTCACAATGAACAGCACCTCGATAAGCTCATCCGTACACATTGGCGGGTAACGACCAGGGAACTGCGTGCATGGCTTAATATTGGTTGTAATGCATTGGAAACGATGTTGGGGAAGCTGGATTATCGCAAAGATTGTTCCAGGTGGGTCCCGCGGATGCTTACACAGGACCACAAAACTCATCGAATGGAAGTCTGTCAGGACCTGCTGCACCAGTTTGAGGCTGAAGGTGACAGTTTCTGGACAGCATTGTCACCGGAGATGAGACGTGGTTTCACCACTATGAGCCAGAATCCAAAAGACAGTCCATGGAGTGGCGACATCTAGATTTCCAAAGAAAAAAGAAGTTCAAGAGAGCCATCGGCAGGGAAAGTGATGTGCACTTCCTTTTGGGATAGGCGGGGTGTGATTTTGTTCGATTTCCTGCAGCCTGGTGAGACTGTCAATTCTGAATGCTCTAAGATGACGCTGACTAAGCTAGTAACCCGCATTTCCTGAGTCAGGCCAGAGAAGCAGACAACCTTTCACTTGCAACACGATAATGCAAGACCCCATACCAGTTTGCGACCACCGCGCACATTGCAAAGTTTGGCTGGACTGTCCTACCACATCCACCTTATACCCCTGATTTAGCACCCGCAGACTTCTATCTCTTTGGGCCTATGAAAGATGGACTATGTGGGCAACATTTTCCAGACAATGATGCTGTCATTGCAGCTGTAAGAAAGTGGCTTGCCTCTATTGGTGCAGACTTTTACAAGCATGGCATACAGGCTCTTGTTCATTGCTGGCAAAATTGCGTAACGAACAGTGGTGATTATGTCGAAAAATTACTGTAAGTAGCTGAAATCTTGCTCTATTTAACTGTGTTATTATGCTTTCTGTATCTGTCATAGTTTTCATTAAAAAAATAGGAGGCATTACATACGGAACGCTCCTCGTAACACATGTAACAATAAGTTTACATTTTATATTATGTATGATACTGACAAGAAGCATGTTGAAATGAACAGAAAATATGAAAATAACACATGAAAAAGCCATGCCTTGCATATAGTACAAGTCACATCCATCCATCAGACTCTTTCATCCATTTCAACTATTAATGGTTCTGGGCTGTATCCTAAAGAATTTTAATACTTATCTTTTGTTTAGACATATCTATTGATGTATAAACCACATGCTGTAAAATTATATTTCAAATAGTAAAAATATTGTGTTTATTAGATTTCTGTAAAGGAATTTTAGTTTTGAGAGATATTTTATTTTAAACTAAGAAATTTAACTAAATAGGTATATGATTTTAAAGAATGTTAGAATTACTGACACAGGTCTAGTCATTTCACAGTTCCAATTTACTATTTTCAGAATGGTTAATGCCACATGGCATATAATGATTACCCCTTCATTTGGAAGAAATATACTATGCATAACAATACCAGATATAAAACAGTACACAAATAAAGTAATGCAGTAATTCCATAATTCTGAATCATTCAAAGATCCAACTGTGTCCAGATGAAATGTGACAAGTCCCTAAACTTCAACCAGCAACCAACACCATGCAAATAACTGTTTAGAGAGGTTATACCAACTAATGAAAAAGACCAATGAAATTCCATACAATATAATTTCTTTCACATCTGTATCTTTCATCTCTTTTCTACCTCACTTTATTCCTTTTAAGCCATTATCTTCTTTACTCCTTTCTCCATTAAAACAACAAATTAAGGCCTTAAGACGGCACAGTTTCAAAAACAGCACACTGTAATGAAGTTCCAGATTTGAAGACATGGCAGTATAGACTTATGTGGAAACTTTAAAAATGTAAATCAAAGCAAGAAGAACTTCACAAGGAAGAATCATAAGTATTAAATTCTCCCCATTTCATTTCTTAGTTATCTTTGAATATGAAAGCTGTCCAACTTTTGAAGTCAAAGATATATTAACCCCTTCTGGACAAACTCCAAAACATTCTCATGTCACTCTACAGTGTTCTCTAAGCCAACATAGAATATACTAATTTCCTTATTTATTTTCCCTTCACATCAAACCTGAATACACTGGTGTTACATTTTAATTTTCATGCCTTCTCATACTGATAGAACAACAGAAGAAATAGTAAAATCTGAAATACTGATTTAGTTATCTAGGGGGAAAAAATATTCTCTGGACAAAATGTTACTGCTTGAGAAATGTATGGGTGAAAATGTTACATTACAATGGGCCATTTAGGGTCTAAGGCAGTCGTTCTCAAGCTGTGGGGCGAGACNTTTCTATGCGTTAGGGCAGGGGGTGCGAACCCGGGGGGGGGGCCAAGGGCTTGAAAGGGGGGCGCAGCATACTTTCCTACAGATAAAAATTAAAACTGCCCTCTATCAATTAGAAAAGTAACAAAAAATAAAAATGCATATAGAAAAACTTTTGATGAGTACAGGCTTTAATTATCATGAATTTCAAAATAACTAATAATTATTCTCCTTGCCGGCAATTATAGAACGCGTATGCCAGAGACAGCGTTGATAATTCGGCAGCACTGTACACGCACAGCTGAAAGCAGCAACTTATGTCATCTCATTGGCGCTTGTTGGGCAGGGAGCAGCCAGTTTGTCACCACATTCAATGGTGATCGATGGGTATGCCTGTTTGATGTTGTGTTCTTATGCATTCAACATTTCAGTGCAGTTGTGCTGATCTGTTTACCTCTTGATGTTGAATTGATTATGAACAATTGATCATGAAGCGTTTCCTGATTAGTGATAGAAATGAAGACACCAGTGCTCCTTCAACTAGTGGTGGGACTAGTGGTGGGAAAGAAGCTACTTGGAGTGTGAAAACAAGAAGGTACGATGAGAACTATTTATCACTAGGCTTTACGAAAACTGTGATCAATGATGAAGAACGTCCGCAATGTGTAATCTGTCTTAAGTATTTTAGCTGCAGATAGTATGAAACCTAATAAATTAAAGAGACATCTTGAAACCAAACATCCGAAGTTTACAAATAAACCAAAAGATTTTTTTGTTAGAAAGCTTAGTAGTTTAAATTCCACCCAAGAGAAATTTTCTAAAACAACAAATGTGACTTCTAAGGCCCTTTTAGCCTCTCACCAGGCTTCTCATAGAATTACTAAATACAAGAAACCACACACAATTGCAGAAACACTGATTTTATCAGGAGCGACTGACATAGTATCAACAATGTTGGGTGACTCTTGTGCTCAACAATTGAAAAATATCCCCCTCTCTAATGACAGTTTGTAGAAGAATTTCAGACATTTCTGATGATTTACGTCAGCATTTAATTGAGAAGTTGTGTAACAAGTGCTTTGCACTTCAAGTGGACGAAGTGACTAATATTCATAAAGATGCTCATTTGATTGCATACGTTCGTTTTGTTGATGAGCGTAATATGTGAGAGGAATTGTTTTTCTGTGAGCCTATCCTGAAAACAGAAACAGCTCAAAGCCTTTTCAACATGATTAATGCTTTCTTTAATGAAAATGGGATACCATGAGATAAGTGCACTGGCATATGTACAGATGGAGCTCGTTCAATGTCTGGAGTCCCTGCAGGATTACAAGCAAAAATTAAAGCTGTTGCTCCTGAAGCAGTATGGACTCACTGTATGATACATCGGGAGGCTCTGGCAGCTAAAGAACTCAGCCCACCCCTTCATGAAGTGCTGCAGATGGTTGTAAAAACCGTCAATGTTATCAAGACAAATCCTCTGAAGTCTAGACTTAAAATGCTGTGTGAGGAAACGGGTTCCGAACACACTGCTGTTGTTTTTAGTGATGCTCGATGGCTTTCAAGAGGCACGGTATTAAAGAGAATGCTTGAGCTGAGGCATGAGGTGTTCTGTTATTTGAATGGGGAAAATCACTCACTGGCAGACAGTTTCAGCAACAAGGATTTCTTATTGAAAATGGCTTACCTCACAGTTATATTTGAGAAACTAAATATCCTCAACACTTCACTTCAAGGGAATGAGGCAACTGTACTTTCTTGGAACGACAAAGTGAAGGCATTCATGAGAAAATTAGAGCTCTGGAGAAACAGTATGGAAAGTGACACGCTAGACATGTTCCCTACTCTAGCGTCAATGGTACAAGACACTGATAATCCAGTACTTCCAATGGACATAAAAAGCTGCCTACTTGATCATCTCATAATGTTGAAAGTTCATTTTGAGAAATACTTTTGCAATGATTTTGATGAATTTAACTGGATTAAAAATCCATTCGAAAATGTTCCTGGGCCATCATCTCTGAATGTAAATGAGCAAGAACAACTCATCGATCTCACTAGTGATACTTCATTAAAAAGTAAATTTAAGGAATTGTCTTTGTTGGAGTTCTGGATACATATTGGCAAGGAATTCCAAACTTTGGGCCAAAAAGCATTGAAGATCCTGCTTCCTTTCGCAACAACTTACTTGTGCGAGACAGGCTTTTCTGCTTTGGCAGCTATAAAGTCAAACTATCATTCAAGGCTAAATATTGCTAAGAAGTTAGAGTGGCCATGTTTGATATTACACCAGGTTTTGATAAACATTGTTCTCA